CTTGCAGTACCTGTGGAAGGTCAACGTGAGTATGGGTAAAACGACTAGCAGAGGAGTCGAATTCGCGGCCTTTTTCGTGCTCAATAGGCCCATTAACAGCAGTTGTGATATTAGCAAACTTGCTATGATGCGGTTATGAACATGCGGCCAAAAGGCCCCGGCACTTTCGTATTTCTGGTTATACACATTAATGATCTGCACGAAAAAAAAAGAAGGGTTATTGTACTAGATTTCACTAGTTTATCGATTTCAATGCCTCCGATAATAATGAATACCAAAACTCGAATATGCTAATAGCTTATAAATAAATTTCGAGCTCATAGTTGATATGACTGATGGTTGAAAAACTATTTGATATGATAAACGTGTTTGGTAAAATTAGCTGATAAACAAGTTAAAATAAAAGTTTTGAAGGGATTATTTGAAAAGCTAATGAAAGAAACTTATGAGATAAGGTCGAGCTTATAAAAAAGCTCGTCCCACAAATCAAGCTTATTTGCATAAATGAAGCATATAAGCTAGCTTATGGTGCTTACCGACATACTCTTAGGTTATGTTTGGTAAACCTAGTTGATAAGGTAACTTATAGCTTTTAAGTTTTAAGTGAATTTCGAGCTTATAGTTGATAACTATGAATTATGGTTGAAAAGCTAGCTTATATCATAAAAGTGTTTGGTAAAATTACTGAAATAAAATTTCAATTGACTTATTTAGAAAGCTACCCAAAGAAGCTTATGAGATAAGTTCGAGCTTTTTAAAAAAACTCGTCCTACCAAACTAAGTTTATTTGAATTTAAGAAGCTTATAAGTTAATCAAATAAGCTATAAGCTAGTTTGTATGCTTACAAACACAACCTTAGTCCACCTGATTATTTAACTCGGAATAATGCACGTGAAAAAAAAAAAAAATAATAATTTGAATCGAAACCGAGTGGAAATGACTGACCTGATGACGATACACAATGTAGGCAAATGCGAAGAAGACCAATATAAAAGGGAGAAGAATCGGTGTAACAGCCATATACACCAAGCCAAGAAGGAAATACAACTGAAGGGAAGGTAGAGTTTCGGGATAATCGACACTCTTGGGGTCCATTGCTCTCTCCAAATCCCGTTCGGTTTTAACTATGAACATGTTCTTCAAGTGGAAAATCACCAAAGGTTTCAATCGCAAAATTTCGCTAGCTATACCAGCCCACCCGTCAATCATTATGTACGTGATGAAAAATGTTGCTTTCATTGGTATCGATACACCAATGTTCCTTGGAATCCTACAAAACCAAGAAACTTCATTCATTAAAAATAATAATAATAATAATGCTAAACTGAAAAAGATGATAGTTTTTTTTTTTCAAAGGATTATGAAAGAAAAAGTCGAGAACTTTTAAAACATAATTTCCAAGTGGAATCGAGAAATTTAAATCGGAAAAGTAACATTACTGTGTAGCAGATTGGTGAAGAAAAGCATGAAGTTGCTGGAAAGCTGTTCCGGCAGCTATGCTCCCTAAGAAAACGTTCACTAGCATGAAATAGTAATATTTGGCAGCTGTTTTCTGTTCTAAAACTGATCTTGCCACGTGCCCCTCGATTTTCGACATGATCATTAAAATAGAAGGAAGAACAAACAAAAAGATTTTGAGTGCCAGACCCGGAAGAAAACCCTGCAATAACGACTTCACAACCTTCCTGCAAGAATACATCGACCGTTTTTTAGTATATTGAGCATAGATTCATTAGTGGCATCCCAATTTAAGAGAAAATATTTATATATCAGTATATTTGCATAAAGCTCTTGATTTTTAGTCTAAGTATAGAAAGACCCGTTTACCTTCCGAAATTACAAATCACTTCTCGAGAGTACTACAGTTTTTAAGCCAAAAATAAATCGAAAGATAACTTCGAGAAAATATGACAGAGTTTCGATTTATTCTATTACCATTCAATAAGAGGTCTGAGAAAAGGAGCCACCTTTCCTAATCCTTCAAGATTTGCCAAAGATTGAACAAAAGCAATAGGTATCATGTAAAAGAAGACCAATAGAAACATTAATACTGATATCACGAGCTTCCGAATGCTGAGCGAGACAAAAGGTATCGAGAGATTTTTCCAGTACACGTCACGAGGCTCTGGTGCCCAATTTGTGAGCCAAAGCGTGGGATTTTTGCTCTGTTGTGTCTGAGCACAGACAGCGGCTCCCCATCTCGAGTCGAATGAGACAAAGGCAGCTGGCATGATGGATTTCGGGTCTTTCATGGCTTTTTCCCGTTCCATTGTCAACTAATGGGACATAATCAAAAAGTAAGTTCGATTAGATTCAAAATGCAAACCATAAGTACACATAAGCAGTTTACTTCATGCAAGAAAAGTAGTAACTTCCAGAAGCAAATGATAGGCATAACAGCAAGAATCGCGCGGTTTTGTCAAAAAAAAAAACATTTTACTTTCTTTTTATTTGCAATTAATTAGACTAAACTTCAAGCATAAAAAAAAAAAAAGAAATTCAGTTTCATTAGCTCGTGTAAATCAAGAGTAGGGAGTATTCATACCCTTTTATCAATGTCTTTAATCTGCTCTTCGTAGAAGTCAATCGAATCAACTCTTTCACCCCACAGTCCAAGAAATCCTTTCTGAAATGAACAAAACATGGTAAGTAAGCTACATTAAAAATGATATGCAGCAAATGAACTAGGTGAAACTATTTTTCGCAATATAATTCAATCTCTTATAAAAACTTGCTCGAAGATGGTTAACACAAAAACAAGTATACACCTTTCTTGTGGGCTTTTTGTTTGGATTCCTCTCGAACTTAAGCTGGTTGTAATCCAGCCAATTTTGGAGCTTTTCTCTTTTTCTAACCAGTTTGGCGAACTTTTTAGCTTTGTATACAGGCTGGGTGGTAACAAGAATAGTAGACCAAATGTTAAAATGATGTTTTGTAAATGAACAAATCTTCAAGAGATTTATATACATAATTGGAGATTTTTGAGGATGATAGTTCGGTGAACTTTTTGTCGGTCCAAAATTACCTGGTGGCACAGATAGTGTTCTGGATGGTTTTTCTGAAAGAAGCTCTCGACACTATCTGATACTGAGTGTCCTGAATTACGTGGCACATTCCTAACGAGAACCTACCGGCAGATCACATAAAGCTTATAATAAATATAAGAAGAAAGTAAAAAAAAAAAAAGAAGAAGAAGAAACAACATTGATAGCTAAAGTCCTTCCAAATCTGATGATTTGTAGCAATAGCAGCTGAACTAACCGTGAATTGTTCGGGACGTCTGCCTTGTGAAGCCAAAAAATTCAGTCTCATTGATGCAACTCTATCATATTCCTTAAAAAGCATGTAACACGCCCAGAATGTGAACAAGTACTCCATTGATATGTGGACAAAAAACCTGAAAATGTCGATTGCAAGAATTACTATATCAGGACAATACACTACATTAATCTTACCTACATTTATCAACAAAATTAAGATTATTGAGTTCACTTCATATGATGATCAGTTTAAATTCAACCAGGAATACAGATAGCATACGCTCGTAAAATGAACTGATCTCAAGTAAAAAAAATTTATTTAAAATTTACTAAATTTAAGACAAACTTCAAACTTACTTGTATGACTTGGAGTGAACGTTTGATATCGAGAGTTTGTCAATGTTGCTGACGACCAAGTCACGCCGCAAGAAAAATAATGTGCCACCAGAAAAATTTACCGGAATCAGAACAATGAAGGCTGCAACGGTGATTGGTAGAAATATTTTTAATCTGCCAAGAGGTAAAAATGATTAAGAAAGTGTAAATAATGTAAGATTCTCCAACTTCAATTCAAAGTATAAAAATTTTAAATGGACTGTAAAGACATCAATAAAACTATGAGCCCTGTCACCATTACGTTATCCAGCCTACATAGTTATAGAAAATATGCAGCAGGATGCCATCAATTCGCTCATCTACAAACGTCCCAACGTAAGCAAACCTCGAAGCAAATATAAGTAATAAAAAACAATAACAAATATAAACATTGTTGAACTTTTATGCGAGTCCACGACCATAAAACACGCCAACCTTCGATAAGACAGAGAACTGAACTAGCAAGAGTGCCAACAATCAAAACACTGGCTAAACAAACACAAATGAACCCCAAAAAAAAGGAACAAATGACCAAATAAGGAACTTCCTCAAAAGTACCAATAACCACCGTTCAATAACTAAGAAATGAGAAGAAGCCCAGCATGACCAACGTAAGCAAACCTCGAAGCAAATATAAGTAACAAAAAACAATAACAGATTCAAACATTGTTGAACTTTTATGCAGAGTCCACGACCATAAACCACGCCAACTTCCGATAAGACAGAGAACTGAGCTAGCAAGAGTGCCAACAATCAAAACACTGTCTAAACAAACACAAATGAACCCAAAAAAAAATAGGGAAAAAATGACCAAAAAAAGGAACTTCCTCAAAAGTACCAATAACCACCATAACCATTCAATAACTAAGAAATGAGGAGAAGCCCAGCATGACCAACGTAAGCAAACCTCGAAGCAAATATAAGTAACAAAAAAACAATAACAGATTCAAACATTGTTCAACTTTTATGCGAGTCCACGACCATAAAACACGCCAACCTTCGATAAGACAGAGAACTGAACTAGCAAGAGTGCCAACAATCAAAACACTGGCTAAACAAACACAAACCAAAAAAAAAAAAAAGGAAAAAATGACCAAATAAGGAACTTCCTCAAAAGTACCAATAACCACCATAACCATTCAAGAACCAAGAAATGAGAACAAGCCCAGCATGACTAAAAATAAATCTCAGGCTCAAGAAAAGCCATAAAAATGCAGTCTTGAACTTACCCAAGTATGTAAATCCTCAAGAAAACTGCAGAATCAAGCCCAGCATGACCAATAATCTCAGGCTCGCTCATCTTCAAAGCCTGAGGCATCCAGTTGAGAAAACTCAAATAAGTCCTGAAATTCAAATTCACAAATTTGCCCACCAAACCACCACCACCACCACCACTGTCCCTAGGGCTGCTCCTTTTTCCAGCCAAATACCATTTAGGAAAATAAACTCTGTCATTGATTGGCTGAATCCTCAGCAGCGCAAATGCAAGCAAGAACGCAAAAGCACTCAGTATGTTGATTAAAGCCGACACCCCAATATCACCAAGGGTCGCCATTTTTCGTTTTTTTTTTTCCTCTTCGAGAACTTCAGAAAAGCAACGATATAAATGAAAATGGTAGAGAGAAGGACAAATTAACAAATGGGTTTGTCAAAAAGGTGGGCTTTTTATGTTCGAGAAAGGGGCAAAAGGAAAGAATATTTTCTTGGTGGGGTTTCCTTTTTCTTCTTAAGTTTTCTTTTTTCTGCAAGAAGATGGCTTGTGGAGGAATGGGGTTTCTTTCTGTTGATTATTTTTGCACTATTTTATTGATCTTCTTACCCTTTTGTGAGCTTGAGGTTGAGGTTTCTTCTCGAGCTGGTTTAGCTATGGAGAATAAGATGGGAAAGAGGGAAAGGTGGTGGACTGTGCTCGTGACTGTCAGTGGGTTTTGGCTTGGAGTTAGTAAAAGGATTAAATTGAGGTTAGGAACTGGAAAGTGAAAAAGGCGCATAAGGTTCTGTAAAATACTTCTTCTTTTTTGACTTTTGTGTGTTTGTACTTTGTAGTCTGTGTTGAGCATGGCAAGTTGGTGCAATTTTTAGTTTTTTTTCTTTTTTTGGTATTAATACGGAAAATATTACGGTCCAGAACCATTCCGTCGAAGTTTGTGACAGTTAAATCAAATATCCGAACATTTATATAATGATCTAAGGATTACAAACCTCTTTCCGTAACGAGACTACTGTAGCATCTCATATTAATTGTACGCGTAGTTAGTGAGTTTTTTTGTTTATTGATAATTCCAAAAAGGAAAAAAGATTAATTATGTATATTGTGTTGTGGTATCATCCCAAGATCATAAACATATTTGAGAGAAAAAACACGTTTCTATTACTCACAAGAATAAAAACAAGAGATTTACAAACTCTAAACAAAAAACTCTCAAACACTCCACAACTCTTTCTTGGTTGTGTTTCAACACTCTCAAGATTGATTGATCACTCTCAAGGATGATTCAAATGAATGAAATAGCAAGCCTATTTATAGGCAAGAATTAGCACACCACCATTGACAAGGTGTGTGTGTGAAAGAGGAAGGTTTGGTGGAGGACTTCTTCAATGGTGTGCCATTGATTTCTTCATTGGTGTGCTTTTGATTTCTTCATTGGTGGGCTTTACATGTTGCATTGAACTTTCAATTCTCCCCTTTCCAAGCAAATTCTGAACAAGCATTCCTACTATGTCTCTGCATAGCTTAAGCTTATCCAGTGTAACTACTTTTGTCAACATATCTGATGGATTCTCTTTCGTATTGATCTTCACTAGTTTCAACAGCTGTTGATCAATCTTCTCGCGTATCCAGTGATACCGAACATCAATATGCTTTGTGCGGACATGGTACATAGAGTTCTTGCTTAAGTCAATAGCACTTTGACTATCACAATATACTTTGTACTCTTTCTGCTTAATCCCGAGTTCTTGGAGATAGCGCTTTAGCCACAACATTTCTTTACCAGCTTCCGCGGCAGCAATATACTCAGCTTCTGTTGTGGATAAAGCAACACACTTCTGCAATCTTGATTGCCAAGAAATTGCTCCCCCTGCAAAAGTGTAGACACAGCCCGAAGTAGACTTTCGACAATCGATATCTCCGGCCATGTCAGCATCATTATATCCTTCCAAGACTGGATCAGCTCCCCCGTAACAAATACATAACTTAGAAGTACCCTTCAAGTATCTGAGAATCCATTTGACAGCCTCCCAATGCTCTTTTCTGGGGTTAAAAAGAAAATGACTTACTACACCCACTGCATGAGCAATATCTGGCCTTGTACACACCATTGCATACATCAGACTTCCAACTGCTGAAGAGTATGGCACTGCAGACATCTCCCCCATCTCTTTCTTGGATGTTGGACATGATCTTTTGCTCAACTTGAAATGATTCGCAAGTGGAATACTCACTGGTTTGGCATCACTCATATTGAATCTTTCAAGTATTCGTTCAATATACTTCTCTTGAGACAGCCATAACTTGCCGTTCTTTCGATCTCGAGTAATCTGCATCCCAAGAATCTGTTGAGCCTTTCCTAAATCTTTCATATCAAAAGACTTGGAAAGTTCTTTCATCAGCTGACGTATCTTCTCTGCATCATTCCCAACGATCAACATGTCGTCGACGTACAGTAGAAGAACTATGAAAGCCCCATTTGAGTATATTTTGATGTAAACACACTCATCTGCATTAGTCTTCTTGTAACCTTGACTCTTCATGCATGAGTCAAACTTCTTATTCCACTGCCTTGGTGCTTGCTTTAGACCATACAAGCTTTTCGATAGCTTGCACACGAGGTTCTCACTTGAAACCTCAAAACCTTCTGGCTGTTGCATATAGATTCTTCATTCAAATCTCCGTGAAGAAAAGTTGTCTTCACATCCATCTGTTCAAGCTCCAAATTCATACTTGCTGCCAAGCCAAGTATGACTCGAATTGAGGTCATCTTGACAACTGGTGCAAAGATCTCGTCAAAATCAATCCCTTTCTTCTGCTGAAAGCCTTTGACAACTAATCGAGCTTTGTGTTTCACCACTTGTCCATTTGCATCTTTTTTCAGCTTGAACAACCATTTGTTTTTCAAAGCCTTTTTCCCTTCTGGAAGTTTAACTATCTCATAAGTTTGATTTTTCTGCAGAGAATCTAACTCTTCCTGCATCGCAGCCATCCATTTTTCTTTATCCTTATGAGATATGGCTTCTTGAAAACTCTCTGGTTCTCCATCTTCTGTCAATAGAAGGTATTCAGATGATGAGTACCTTTTTGATGGTATATGACCCCGTTCAGATCTACGAGTGGGTAGAACCATCTGAGAAGAACTTCCAACATTGGTGTCTGGCAAAATGGGTTGTGGCTCCCCTTGCTCTGGCAAGATGGGTTGTTGCTCCCCTTGCTCTGCACTCTCCTCCGTCTCCTCGTCTTCTTCTGGTACATTATCTTCATTGTTTCTCCAGAACACTTCTGGTGCTTCATCTGAAACTTGAGCACCCACATTTGACTTCTGAGACATCTTGGGCTTTTCGATATCTTCTATTGTCAAATTTTCTTGGAACACAACGTCCCTACTTCTGATCACCTTTTTCTCATTTGGATCCCAACATCTGTATCCAAACTCTTCATCTCCATAACCAATGAAAATGCATGGGATTGACCTCGCATCGAGCTTCTTTCTGAGCTCTTTGGATACATGTGCATATGCTACACAACCAAATACTCTGAGATGTGAATATGTCGGATCCTTACCAGTCCATATTCTCTCTGGAACTTCAAAATTTAATGGAACTGAAGGTAATCGGTTGATTAGATAACATGTGGTCTTAACAGCTTCTCCCCAAAATGGCTTTGGTAATTTAGCCATGTTCATCATGCTTCGGACACGCTCCATGATAGTCCGATTCATTCTTTCAGCAACACCGTTGTGCTGAGGGGTACGTGGTACTGACTTCTCATGTCGAATGCCATATGTCCTGCAATATGCATCGAACTCCTTGGAAGTATACTCGCCTCCATTATCTGATCGGAGACATTTCAGCTTCTTTCATGTTTCACGTTCCACCATGACGTGAAATTCCTTGAAGTACTCAAACACCTGGTCCTTCGTATTCAGGAAATATACCCACACCTTTCGAGAAGCATCATCAATGAAAGTCAGAAAATATCTGCTTCCACCCAGTGATTCAACCTCCATGGGACCGCAAATATCAGAGTGTACCAATCTTAACAACTCTGATCTCTTTGTTGAACTTGTATTGAATGAGACTCTATGTTGCTTGTCGAACAGGCAATGACTGCAAGAACCCATCGCCGCACTCTTATCAACCTTGATAAGATCTTTCTTCATCAGGGTAGTCAGCCCTTTCTCACTCATATGGCCGAGTCTCTGGTGCCATAGATCCTGGGAAACCTCCTCTGCAATATTGAGACTTTCTGTACTGATCTTCAAATGTGTTTTGTACAGCGTCCCACAAACATGTCCTCGGGCAATTTTCAGAACACCCTTTGACAACTTCCATGTGCCTGCGCCGAAGTAATTTTCATATCCTTCTTTGTCAAGAGCCACCACTGACAAAAGATTCAGCTTAAGATCCGGCACATGTCTGACATCCTTCAACAAGATTGTACTCCCGGTTCCTGTCGTTGCCTGGATATCACCAATTCCGACAATTTCAGAGGAACTGGAATTTCCCATCTTCACCGATCCAAAGTCTCCAGCTTGGTATGTTGTGAAGCATTTTCTGTTGGGAGTAACGTGATAGGATGCTGCAGTATCTACCACCCATTCAATGTCTTCTCTTGAGACATGAAGACACGTCTCACTATGGTTAGAGCAATATGCTACATCACCTGAGACAGTGATAAGAGTTTCACCACTCTTGCCCTTGTTCTTCTGCTGAGAACTATTCTTCGACTGAGAATTTCTCTTGTCCCTGCTCCTCGAGCCATTTATAGCAATTCTTCTTCATATGACCTTCTAGACCACAATGATAGCACGCATGTGATCTCCGATCATCTGATTGCCTCCCCTTGCTTCTACCCCTGCTCTTCCCTTTACCGCTCCTTTGTTTCTTGCCTTGTGGTCTTCCTCGATTCTCCATCACAAGGGCATGGGTCTGATCTGTGCCCATGTCTTTCCTTCTTGCCTCTTCGTTGAATAAGGCATCCTTCACAACAGACATGGAAAGTTTGCCGTTTGAGGCTGAATTGCTGAGAGTAACAACAAGTGTTTCCCAACTATCATGAAGGGAACTAAGAAGTAGCAGAGATTGCATTTCATCTCCAAGCGGCATCTCCACACAAGATAGTTGATTTACCAGGCTCTGGAACTCACTGGTATGCTCGGCAACAGAAGTTCCACTTTTCAACTTCATATTGACTAAGCGCCTCATCAACAAGGCCTTATTCCGAGCGGTCTTGGCCTGGTACATGTCCTACAGCTTCCTCCAAATGACATATGCGTCGGTTTCTTGTGCAACATGATGGAAGACACTATGATCAATCCATTGTCGGATTTGACCAATAGT